GTGAATTTGTTGGAGAAGGTTTTGGACTCCAAGCTTCACCTTTTTAGAAATATATGTTAACCTCCTCTTGGTTTTATCTTATGGAGTAACATCGAATAACAACAAGGTGAAGAAGGATTACACTGCAAGAATGAACAATTTTTGAATCCATCAATGTTCAGCTTTTGTAGTGATTCATCAAGCATAATGATTAAGCTACGCAAGGAGTGTCTTATGCATGTTAACACACGTCTGTGCTCCCCATGCAGTGCACAAACTTTTCATAGATTTATGCAAACGGTTTTGAGTAGTGAATGATGTTTTAAAACAGATCATGTTTATGGTCAAGACGTTAACATCTTCACATCTTTTGTTAGCGTTTTTCGACAAGCTGTGCATGGGGAAATATCAAAAGACTTATGTCCTTATACTCTTTCCAAAAATCCGATGGTGTATTGTCCATTACGCCACCCAACGTGCTAGCACAATCAAATTGGCATGTGCATCGTTGCCAAGAGAAATTCTTAACGCAGATTATGACATTGATATATACGATAAAATGAAAATTTGGTTACAGATTAGTTTAATTGGAAGTACGTATCTACGATGGAAACACTTTTTAAGACAATATGCTCATGTTTAATATATTTGGAGGGAGATGACCTAGTATCGTGACAAAGTTCAACCAAGAGATCTTGCAATTAGGAAAGTCTTCAATCAACAGGCGATCAAAAGCTGCACTTAGGCATCTCGTAAATGACTACGAAGACCTTCGAAGAAAACTCTTTAGTGAGTTTGTCATGTTTATTATGTGTCCAAAGGACGAAGATGATGATTTCAGCGACATCTCCTTCACCCCGTCTGATTTGTGGACCTTTTCTGAATAACAGTATAAGGAGCCATCAAAGGTTGTCTATCTGCATTGCACAAGAATCCGACAGGGTCCAGCAAGGGTGAGTGTAATCACAAGGAAGCCAAACGCGTTCATAGTCGTTCACGAGTTCGGTTGGGCATGCACAAGATAGATACAGGTACGAACATTTTATTCAATTCAAAACTACTTGATCATCAAATCTCTAAAAAGAGGTATACAAAGTTTTGCAAATGATTGCAGCAGCTGTGCCCAGACAGTGAATATGAACTTGAAGAATAGCCGTGGATGAGGTGATGGTACATTGATGAGTTTGATTGCGTTGACATATCTGGGGGAGCTGACGGCATGCATGATGAGGATATATTTCAGTCTGAGGAGTAGTTTGTGGAAGATGGTAAAATCTTAGGATTAGTTGACCTATGAGCATTCTATAATACATTTTGTATTATACAGCGCATCTGCGAAAAATCCAATTATATAGTCCCAATGTTGCCTGACCGTGACATGAGTTTTTACCTTAAAACTCACTCCTTCCTTCATATTATTCTCCGTCGAGCTTCGGCCGTAAAACTTTTAAGCTCGTCGCAGACTAAGATCAAGGAGCTGGAGACGGTGATGTAGAATGAAGAGGATGCGGCGTTGAACCACGAGCACGAAGCTCTGGGAAATGAGAAAGAACAGTGGGGAGAGGAGGAAATGTTGGAAGAGGAGGCAGCGTAGGAAGGTGAGCCGGAAGAGTGGGGAGAGGAGGCAGCGACTGAAGAATTGACCGAGCTCCCAGTACCGAAGGTAAACATATCACTGTTAAAATACGACACACAGCAGCTTCACTGGAAATTCCATCAGAGATCGATGCGTCGTCATTCTCTATACAGTATGCTCAGCTGGATCTGTTTTCTGTAATCGAGTTCTGCTTTAATTTCCAGCTGCTTCCTGCTCTTCACTTGGTTCTTGATCTCACTTGCTGATGACGCATATGGTGAAAGTACGTATATTTATAAGGGTCAGAGTAGGATTCAGGCCGATTACAATCCTACGGTAGGCGTGATTTAAAAGTCAGGGCGTGCTGGCAGATTGGTAATAAGTGGGAGTATTATGGTGAGTGTGACCTGAGAGCCAGAGCGGGTTGGCAGTTCGGTAGTTATTACATTTTCCTCATCATTCTAGAGAATGCGCTTGTATTATGCATAAAAATATATTATCCCTTTAGGAGTCATAGTGCATGAGTCTGTGGACCAAAGGAAAGATCAATAGAAGTCGCGCTCGATTATAATTGTAATAACAATATCTATATATCGTGTAACGGCCATGAAGTTTTTCAGTCAATAGTTGCTGGATATTATACGATCACTTGCTCTGTGTGTCAAAGTCTAAAGTCAATGATCACGTCAGAGTGAAATTTATTCATTTCATGGAATATAACAGTCAGCTCATTGATAGGAGAACAAAAGCCCGGTTATATAGCCTGGATATGTCCAACCGCAAAGGATTATCCGATGATCATCCAAAATGAGCTGAATTATATGAAGTCTGAGAGAGACAGCAAGCGCGTTCTTGAAAGTGTAGTCAAGCTGGAGATGGATGGTGTCGTTGTTGTAGGTGGCTCTTGGACAGAATTTCTCACTGAAGTCGCTTCGTTTCATCCGGCTGGCCCAAGAATTCCCCAGTTGTCAGAAAGCTGCTCCTTGGTATCATGGCCTGCAACAAAAGGGAGATAGTATGGAAGAGGTTTGCCATTCTTCAAGTCCAAACGAAGATTCACCTCAACTCTGGACATTCTTTAGACCCAGACTGTGCAGATTGTATTGTATCTGCAGGACCCTGTACAAGGAACACGTAGCAAGCGTGATATCTGGAAGTTCATTTAGCAATTCAGTAGCCGTCACCAGAAATGAGAGATACACAGAGGAAACTTTCGCGTGGATTTCATTTGGTGCGATGCGATGAATTTTTCTTGGTTAGAAGAGACTTTTGAAACACTTAGAGTGGCATGGATGATTATCATGGGTTTTGATATGAACATCTTGAGTTATTGCTACAAAATTAATATAAAACTTTACACTCTATTGCGTTTTGTGTTTCGTGAAGTGAGTTCATTTTTCATCTCGCATTCAGCTGATAGAATTCAAATTTTAGACCCAGAAGAGTTTTTAATTTCTGAACTTTACAATTTTTTTATCTTCTTTGCCTGCTTGAGAAAACACTAAGAAGGACTGAGTATCAAACCCAAGTATCGTATGAAAGTTACAACAGAAGAATAAAAAATTTCAGGAGACACATAGTTAAATGCATTCATCGATTGGTGACTCATGCTATACAATTCTGTTAAAAGTACATGATATAAGGAGTTGTGACAAATATAATACCGACAGTATGTAAATTATATAAACAATCCTTGTATACCTGGTGTTATAATGTTGTAGTGAAGTAGTACTATCCATGTTGATGAATCATAGATCATGTAGGATATGAGTTATGTTACTTGTATGAGTATGAAGAGGACATTGCAAGAGTGTTAGTTACGACATCTGACAAAAATTAAACTCTGAGATTGCCAAAAATAAGTTGCTAGGGATTGGAGTTACTCAGCGGCATAGAATTACAAATAATTTCAGAATATGATCATCATGGATGTCGTTTTTTCATAATTAAAAAGTACAACATATTAATATTAATATACTACTATGATACTTAAACTAAAATGTGCGTAAAAAATGAAAAAATGAAAAAAATTTATTTAATCTATTGCAATGGAGGATGATGATTCTTAATATTGGTCGTACTACTTTGAATATGCTTTCGAGTTTTACTTTTTTCACTCATAAAGCAACAAATTCATGTCATAAGATGTTTGTATGGCGTGAATAGAGTTTGATGCCGGAAGTGAAGGATATACCATAAAATGCATGCTGATATTCTTTGGTTGTCAAAAGATAAAAGTAAGAATCTCAAACAATGATTAAAAAAATATTCCTGTTCATGTGAGGTTCAGACTGTAGAACAAAGGTAGGCATTAGTGTATGTCTACACTTTGACATTGTGAGAACTGCAACTATAAATGCTGTGCAAGATGAGAAAGTCCGTTATTTAATATCAGTTCTGGAGTTAGAGAACTTCATTGACTCGTAGCCATCACGTTGACTTAAATACTCTATGTCCAACTTACCCATTTCAAAATCCAATTACGGATGTTACAGAGGTTGTAAGGGATTATGGGGCGTTACTAGCATGACTGTGAGATTACGTCAGCAAGAACCACGTGAAGAAGTCTCAGGAATGAATTACGACTCAATTGCATGAATGGTCATCTATATACTTGGGATTCGAGTCTATGGTCACGAGAGATGAATTTTGAGGCTTTATTTGAACCCAGATAACTGTTATGACATAAGTTAATAGATGCTCTAAATGGGCTCAAGATTGATTTGATCAAGTAAATTTTACCTACAATAATGCACTCTTTGAACCCCTATATAAGACAAGTAGATAAAATATGAAGCAAAAATCTCATAGAAGTTTGAGCTTTAAGTCCATCCCTGAATTTATCTATCTAGATAACGCATTTGTTTACCACCATAGTTGTTGAAATTATAAACTTTATGTGCTGGCAGCTGCGTACTCTTGACAGTAAATTTCAATACTAAACTGGGAGCTTTCAATCTCACAAGCATAAAATGGAAAAGGTTTGAAAGTTTCCAATTTCACAGAATCTGAAATGCAGCAGATATGCTCTTTACTTGCGAATGTTTAAGTTCCACCCAGAATTTATTCTTTGTTTTCAAATATATGTGTTATCCTAAACACTATATACACACCGCTGAATAAAAAATCAAACCGCTCAAAAAAATCAGTAAACTGTCCATTGATCATTTACGTATTCTTATATTTGTCACGGGAAACGGAATGGATCGACTTGTAACTTTCAGATCTTTGGAAACAGTACAAATGGGCCACTGTACCAGTGAAGAGTTCGGGTGATCTTGTCCAGAGTGGATAATACTAAAACATCATGCTGCTTCATCCTCAAACCCGCTATGCGGTGGGCGTCAGTCTAGAACATCGTGTATGTATATACACCATTCAGAATCATCAAAAGGATTTTGCTAAGTACAATGTGGTCTTTATTGCTTGATAAAAAGAAATTTTATCGTTCAGATCATAATCTTCTCCAGCAAACACATGATTTATTGTATCCTTACATTTATTATATGATGCAGGCACGTGATGTTGCAGTCTTGGTTTGAAACTAACTGAACTTTGCCTCTGATCAGGTCCAGACACGCAGAGTAAGCGCTGAATCTACATCCTGATACACGAGTGTTGGCACGATGTACAGCATGCTTCGAACACACTGCATGCTCGATGCCTTGAGCGACCAGTATGAAAATTAGACCACATATTGTAGAAGGGATATATCAGAACAGTAAAAATAATCCCCAAATTTTATGCTGTTGTCGTCCTAAAGTCCCTTCGGAGAAACGTCGATTGTCGGAGACGGCTCACACTTGCTCTTTTGAAGGGAGCAGTCCGACCAAATCTTGTCCGCTTGATTTTTGTTCCTGAAAAACCAGAAGACAGCGAGTATCATCTGTTGACATTTGCTCAGAGATGAGCAAATGTCCCAACATCCCCATGTTGTCTGACCCTCGCGAGAGTACCACGGCGAAAGCTCGAGGCAGACTAAGATGAAGGAACTGAATGAGGAGAAAGAGAAGTTTCGGAAGCTTCAGGAGTAGGAGAAGAGGATATAGAATGAAGAGGAGATGGCGCTGAACCATGGGAAGGGAGATGGGGAAACGGAGGAAGCTTTGGGAGATGAGAAAGAACACTGGAAAGAGGAGGAAGGGTTGGAAGATGAGCAGGAAGAGGAGGCAGAGTTGGAAGATGGGCAGGAAGAGGTGGATGGGTTGGAAGATTAGTGGGGAGAAATGGGAGAGGCGGCAGCGTTGGAAGATGAGTGGATTGAGTAGGAAGAGGCGGCAGCGTTGGAAGAAGCGAACGAGCTCCCAGGACCGAAGGTAAACAAATCGCTGTTAAAAATATGACACACAGCAGCTTCACTGGAAATTCCATCAGAGATCGATGCGTCGTCATTCTCTATACAGTATGCTCAGCTGGATCTGTTCTCTGTAGTCGAGTTCTGCTTTGTTTCCAGCTGCATCCTGCTCTTCAAATTGGTTCTTGCTCTCATTTGCTGATGAGGCATATGGTGAAAGTACGTACATTTATAGGGCCCCGATTAGGATACAGATCGATCAGAGAACTACGGCAAGCGCGATTTGAAGACTCAGGGTGGGTTGGCAGATCGTTAATAAGAGAGTATTATGGTGAGTGTGACCTGAGAGTCAGAGCGGGTTGGCAGTAATTTCATTTTCATCAACACAGTAGAGGATGCGCAAGTATTATGCGTAAAGACAGTTGTTCCTTAAGGATGCATAGTGGCTGAGTCTGCGGACCAAAGGGATGCAGTATTATCCATTTTATATTGCTCGAGGGTCTTGTAGTCTTTTGAGTCACTTGTTGCTGGATGAAGTCAAATCACTGACTCTCTATGTCAAGGTATATATCTCAATTATTACGTTGGAGAGCAAATTATTCATATCATCATATGTTTGATGTCATATAGCGGACAGCTCAACGATAGAAGACAAAATTCTGGTAAGCATAGCTTTCATATGGCCAGACCCACAGGAGTATCGGAGAATGATCTCAAATTTACTAAATGGGCGATATCTATGCATGGTAGAGAAGATGAGCTTGAATTACAATAACGTCTGAGAGCTATTGTGAGCAGGCTTTGGAAAGGTCAATCAAGCTGGAGGTAGTTCCTTGTGTAGTCGTAGGTGGCTCCTTTACAGATTTTCAGACCGAAGTCGATTCCATCTCCTGCTGCTGGCCCAATAATGCCCCACTTCTCAGGACGCTGCTCGTTGGATTCGTGTCCTATGACTAAAGGTCATTCCAAAAAAATATTCACCTCAAATCTGGGTCCATGTAGGACGCTGTGAAGGGTACAGCTGGCAAACTTGATAACTTGAAGCTCATTCAGTACGACGAGTAATCTGTCACCCGTATCAGATGACAGTAAGAGAGTTCGTTTCGTCCATGGTGATGAGGTTGGGACTTCAAGATACTTCTGGTGTATTAATGGCATGAACAGTTCGAAACACCAAAGAGTGGAACACAGGAAGCAGCCCAAGCTTGGCTATGCTTGATTCTTCAGATTTACGCATCCGATACAAGGAGTTGGACAGTTGTCACTCCTGAAATTAACATTTGCCTAGACCTCGGTTCAATAATTTCCTCCAATTCTGTTTGCTTTCGTGACAGCCCTTTAGCAGTTTTAGCGACATGCATCCGGTCGCACGTGCTCCTAGGTAAATTCAACATAAGCACCGAACACTGGACAAAAAACTTGAGAGCCCCTCGCATTTCCGAACACTGGCGATGGAGAGATCTGCTTAGTACTTACTCATCGGGTCAGGAGTTCGGGGCCACGTTGATTTATGAGAACTTTCCGTTCATAACAGCTTTGGATGTCGATCTGAAGGTGGCTGAAATGCCCACTTATATCGCTTGATCAGATTAGAAGAAACCCTTTCAACCATTTCGAGATGAAACATGTGGCAACAACTGGTGAGTTTGAACCACTCTAGCAGGTTATATTATCAGAGAAGGCGGAAGGCGGATTGGAAACTCGGATCAGACTTATATGACTCGTATCAGACTTCATGTTGATCTACAGACAGGCAACTACCTCGTGGAATGGCGAATGACTTCTTCCTCGCAACTTTGAACACAAAGTAGTCACTGCCTCCAGTTTCTATATATATCTTCATAAGTCTCACTCATCTTTGAATCTGTTCTCAGCGAGATTTGAATTCCCTGTGTTCGACTCGTGAAATACAGACATGTGAATGCCAAAATCCAAACCCCACTTTCAAACTTATCCAGATCAGCTGATATGATTGTCGAAGTTCCTACAATTGACAGCTAAAGGACATGCAGGATCTTGCAGGGAAACTGGGTATGATAATGGTTATTATGTGGATTGATTCTACAGTTGTTAAGCTCAGAAAAAAATTTCTTTCTTTCGCAGTGCAGGAAATAGTTTGCCATGATCAACCACCGATCAGCACGGATGCAGAGCATGAATGTCTACATGCTCCTGGCTTACATTACCTCCGGTCTCGTGACGTATCTCCTGGATTTCGTTACCTCTTCCTAGAATGGTTCCCTTAGTGATACCGCTGGTAGATACACCTCCTAGGTCATGATCAAAAGTGTAACTTTGTGCGCAAGAGCTTTATAAGTCATTTCGTTGCTTTGGGATGCACCTGCTTTCAGATTGTTCTCAGTTTGTGCTTAAAATGATAAAATCTTCTGATTTAGTCCTGAAGGCTTGCTTCAGTGGAGACAGAGGAAAGGACAATCGTGTCCGTGCCTGTGGTGACCGTCAATGTCTTGATGTTGCTGCTCCGTTACAGTTCCGATGTGAGATCAGCAGTGAAATGAGAGAGCGACTATCCAGCGAGAATACGTTATCAATCTGGAAACGGATTTGTGTGCGATCACGTCGTAGAAGGCAACTGTTGCGACTCTGTTCCAAATGAAGGGCCGGCTCTCAGTATCACGGTCTCGAACATCAGGCCAGGGCAGCATGAGGTCCTGGAATTTTGACGCACAAGGACATTCAGGATGTGTACAGAGGGTTGAGATCTCACAACATGTTCATGGGGCACATAAATCTCGGTGCTGCTCGAGTAATAATGGCCTGACAATATCTCCTGCCAAGTGGCACAGGAGGCAGCCGGCTAGCGAACTTATGCTCGATCCACACTCTTGAGTTGGTAATATTTGCAGTAGACTTATCAAGGGCCGTCTTACAAACTTGGGATTTTTCTCTCCGAGTCTACTTTTTTTTTCCGAATAAGCACCCTTATTTTTCCAAGCTACTGATTGTATTGAAGAGAAAACATTTTCATCGTTAGCATCGTCATTTACAAATGAGATAAGATCAATGTGCAGATGATGGAGACTCTGTCCTGGCATACGTTGTATTCTAAGATGTTTACACCATAGCTAGCTATAAGAATGGATATGTTATCCAGACAAATGTCAAAGACTAAAAATTTTTGGCATCATAGTTCGCAAGTATTGTAATGAAATTCGTAAACATGTCATTTCTTCATTATTTTGAGATGCATTTGTAAAAAATCTATCTAAGAATAATTGACGAATGACATTTTTGCGAATTTCATCATACATGTTTGCATAGCAATGGCCAGGACTAGTTGCTTGCATTCTATCAATTCGGTCGATATGATTTGACGAGTCTAAAACTGATCGTAGTTCATAGATGGTGAAACTTATTCAGCATCGAGAACATTTCACATTTCTCAAGTTTCAACATGGTATCACCCGTACGAGTATCCACAACTTCAAAAGAATCATTTATACCTGAATAAACGTTACATAAAAAAAAAAGATGAATAGTACGAATTTTGCGATCACTCTGTTCCGTCCAAGAATGATATCGAACAAAGATTAAAAATATCCCTTTACGGCAAGATTAACAGCATGCGTGATTAAATGTGGAGAAAAAGGAGAATGAAGTTACTCAATTCTTTCTCTCATAAGGGATCAAGATTCTCAACTTTCTTAGTTCTGAGCAACATGTAAGTTAGATATTATCTACACGTTAAAAGGTTTCTTAACTTTTGGCATGTAACAAATTTGATTATCAAGCACTAGTTGTCATCCTGGGACGCTTTGGCCGAGTGGTTAAGGCGTGTGCCTGCTAAGTACATGGGGTCTCCCCGCGAGAGTTCGAATCTCTCAGGCGTCGTCCCAACGAGGCTTTTTGCTTTGCCTTTTCGCCATGGGGTTTCCGATCATTTCATTTCTCCACTGGCACCTTTTCATGTCTCTGCTTTCTGAGTCCGTTCCTTGTCCTCCATCATATGCCAAAATTAACGAACAAGTGTTTGAAGTTTGTATTCACACGTAAAATGCGCGTGCGTAGTTGGGGTCCTTTCTATCTCGATGGCGCTACATTACCCTTTCTCCGGCCCTTTGTACACATTGGGAGAAATAATACAGTGCACAAGTGTCGCATTACAGGATCAACGAACAAATTGAAAGCCTCTAAAGTGCACCCAAATTTGATGTGTGAAACGAGAGGAATGGCAACGTACATTCCAGTTTCATAGCAGCATTCGTGGACGATTAACACCTGCACCGAAACTGTTACCAGTCAGTTCTTGCCTCCTATTAGGTCAAATCGATCCATTTCCGGATCTTCAAGAGAAGTAAGTGTGATGAAAATCAAAACACAAACGAATGAGACACAGTGGAATTGGAGATGCGGGGTATCGATCCCCGTGCCTCTCGCATGCTAAGCGAGCGCTCTACCATCTGAGCTACATCCCCGATATGAAAGATGCATCCAATTTTTATTATATATTTTTTAAAAAAACATTTAATTTTCCAAAATGCAACAAAGACCAACGAACCAAAAAAAGGATGAAAAAACAAATTTGGGGAAAAAATCACTGGAATTGACGAAGGAATGACGAAATTTTATATCAATAACTTCTCATGTTTCTTTCTTCATGTAGTCGCAAGAGGCTACTTTCAAAGAGAGTTCACACCTTCAGCTCTAAGATGGATAAGAGCAGAGCGGTGACCGTCTTCTGCGTACAGTATAGCAAAACTCTGGATCCTCTCTGGTGGGCTGGAGTGCTGCTTCAGTTCACTTCAAAGCCAGTGCAAAAGCCCTCTTAGAAGTACAGGACATCAACATCCTCGAGGAGCTGATTACGTTCGGAGTTGCGGTCGGCTCAGAACACGCTCAGTCTGCCTGCGAAGGGATGAATCTGTCAGAAATCTGGATACAGAAGAAAGGCCTTACGGTGAGTGCATCCAGCATTCTCTCCCGATTCGTGTGTATGCAATTGGGCCGCGGCCAATCATCGACGAACTGTCCTTGTGCATGATACACGACGGTTGGTCAGACCGAGCACGATGTGCTGTGCTGCGTCTTTGGATTACAGTACTGTGCTGGGATCGCCTTTTGTCTCAAGGTCTGGTGTGCATGTGGTCGGTACCTCAGGCTGCACCTCTACCTTCTCGGCTACTCGAGTTGTAAGGCTTTGTCTTCGGTGCCATTGGTGGTGAAGGTGGTATTCTCTGTCCTAGATCCAGCTGTTGGGCTGCCTTTTGTGTGTATTCACG